AGTATAAGATCCTAACACGCCCAATACTTTAAGGCTAACATCTCATTAACCCTATTCCCGCTGGGGGGGGGGGTCAATTTGACCCCCCCCTGTAGTTTTTTTTTACATAACTCAAAAAGTATTGGTCTGAGGCTGTTGAAATTTTCTGACTTTTCTTACATACCCAAAGCCCTCCCTTTAGGCCTAAAACCGGGCTTTAATACTAACTGCCTGAGTCCTCAGGCACACTACCTGAATGACTGCTTTTGCCTGTAACAAAATAAATCTTTGTTTTGACCCACTTTCAGATTTTGATAAAATTTAGCTTTTTGGAAAGCCTATGACATAAGGAAACGGATTGCACAAGTTTTGCGAAAAAAAAATTGCAAATTATTTGCAAACAACCTGTCAAAGGAAATTTGCACATTTTTAGTTTTTCTTGATTAAAAATCAGGTTATTTAAAAATTTTTTTTTGCAAACATTTTTAATATAAAACTGGATTTTGCGATAAAAAATTCAATTTTCGCAAATTTGCAAATTTTTTTGCAGATTCTAAAAGTAGAGCACAAGAGCTTTCTAATGATGTATCAATTGTCATATTTGGACATAAAACATGGGATTTAGAGGGGGGGTCAAATTGACCCCCCCCCCAGCGTATCCTGGTTTTCAAGTACCCCAGCAGGGATAGGGTTAACTAATGGGGGTGCTGAAATGTGTGTATTATGTTAACACTTGCTTTAAAAACATGAATAATGGTAGGAAGATAAACGATGGATTATAATCTTTATAATGGTTCAACTGTGATCCCAGTTATGCATCAGACAATTATTTTGTAATGTATCAAAACAACTTATGAATGTCATGCTAGTATTTCTAAAAAACGTCAAATTTTGGACCAAAAACATAAACGATTAAATCTATTTTTTAACAGATTTGATGGTTTCGTGACCAATTTATTTTTACATTCTAAATTCATGGATCTCTTAGTCCTAATTGAAGGTATTATCATGTCGTGGCCACACATTTGTTTCTTAATTGATTCAACCCCAAAAAAACAGAAAGGAATTGAGTCTTTACCACAAACTCTGAATTTATAATCCCTATATCTTTGGAACCCAATGTCGCAAATCTTTGATATTTCAAACTTACATTGTTTGATCTAACAAAATTCATAGTTTGAAATATCTAAGGTTTACGACATTGGAATCCAAAGATATAGGGTTTAGAAAAGCAGAGTTTGTGGCAAAGACTCAATTCCTTTGATTCTCTGAAGAAAAAAAAATTAATTGCATTCAGTGATTTATGAAAGTTTTCCAAAGTTTACGCTTGGTGTGAAGTTTTTTTTAATGATCATTCTAAAAAAAACTTTTCTATTTGTTAGATGTGCTATTTTGTTTTCCAGTTTGAAAGATAAATCTTTAAAATCTATAAATTCTCCTAGATGCTATCCTTCCAAAGGACAGATGGGAAACACTTATAATTGTTATAATAATAATTGGAAATTCACGTAATTTTATTTAAAATTATGATAAACTGTTTTAATAGCAGCAAATCAACTTCAACTAAGCTTTCGGTTATTAATGTTTTGTCTCAGTCTAAAATCCAATTTATAATATAAAAACAAGAGTGGTCAGGGATCCAAATACAAAAAACAGAGGAATAATAAAAATCAAGCTAATTTAACTATTACGATTTTATAGATAAAACAAAAATACTATATCTATATATAAATTTGGCTTGTCTGTTTGTTTGTATCCAAAAAACTTCAAAACGGTTGAACTGATCGGGCCCAAATTTTTTGTGGGACCTAACGTGACCCCAGGGAAGGTTTATGAATGATCAAAATTTTAAAATTTGTGTTTAAAAGTTTTTTATTTTTACCAAATTTTGAAAATGCGCAAAAAAATATTATGAAATCCGCAAACTTTTTTTGTTTTTGTTTTATACTGTACAAAGAGAAGATGTTCAGAGATAAAGCTACAATTAAAAGTTGAAATAGCTAGTGTGTGATATTTCTAGAAATGTAAAATTAAAAGTAGGAAAATTTATATTTAGGATATTTCTAAGTTCAAGAAAAGAAATAGATCTTGAAAAAACTAACTTCGGAGAGACGTCTCCTGGAATTTTCTAAAGTTTTTATTAAAGATTCTTAACTCACCAGCTTCTTTCCGGTTCAGTTCCCACATTTGGACTTTTTTATTTAAAAGTAACGCCTATATAAGTTGCATTTGCTGCTCCTCCTCGCCCTGAGTTTATCTAGCTAAAGATTTTTCCATTCTTTTTAATTTAATTTCGTTGTATTTCAAAGCAGAACAAAAATAAAAATTTTCTGTAATGATGTTTTAATGCCCCTGTATACATGTATCAAAGTATTCTTTGGCATCCTGTTAAACAAACGGCCAATTATGTCAATTGAGTATTAGCTTGTGTTCCTAAATCTAAGAGTAGGAAAAGAAATCATAATTGGAGACTCACAGATGTTTTGCAAAGACCCCGAGAGGTTAATTCTGGAAGCTCAACAATTTTTGTTGAATACCCGAAGCTTTTAATCCTATTCCTGCTTGGGGGGGGGGGACCCCCAACATATCCTGGTTTTCAAGTACCCCAGCAGGGATAGGGTTAATCGAAGATACTATTTTTTTATCGGTTTGAACCCTGAAGATTTTCATTAAATATTCACAGAGAAAATACAGGATTATACTTTTCAGAGGGGGTTTTAAGAAAAAAGTAGGGGTCTTTGATGTAAGCCTTAAAAGGTTATTGCTAAGGTAGGTATGGTTTCCAAAGCAAATATCGGAGTCTTTAGTCGTATATTGAAGTTTTCTGGGGAAAAAATAGAGTCTTCGATGATATGGTAGTTCTCAATGAAAAGTGGTCTCAAATAAATGCTGACGAATTCTTAAAAAACACACACAATTGTTTTAAGTAAATAAAAATACAAAATATATCGTCACTAAACTTATCACCACAAAACATATCACCACAAAACTTGTCACCACAAAACTTATCTAACAACAAAACCTATCAAAACAAAACTTATCATCACAAAACTCATCATACTACAAAACTTATCAACCTCCAAAACATATCAAACTCCAAACTTATTAAAATAACTACAAAAGGAATTGAGTCTTTGGAACAAAATAAAATATTTAAACCTTTAGAACTCGATGTTGTAAACCTTTGATATTTCAAACTCAGATTACTTGATCTAACAGAATTCAAAGTTTGAAATATCTAAGTTTTGCAACATTTGGTTCCAAAGATATAGTGATTAGAAAATCAAAGCTTGCACACATAGCTTTCAGGTCTTCTCTGTTATGTGACCTTTAGATTGCATCATCCTTAAGTAAGTTTGAACCCTTCTGAGAGAAAGAAAAGTTAGCCTCCATCTCGGAGAAAGGGGCTGGAAAACTCAGAGTTTACCGAATTTTCTCTTAAAAATTCGCGGATTTTTAAACAATCGTCGGAACATTTCCATGATTTGAAAATTTAGATTCATGAATTATATTGATAAGTTTTGAGTTTGATATGTTTTGTTGTTTGATAAGTTTTGTAGTTGATAAATTTTGTTTTGCTAAGTTTTGTTGTTAGATAAGTTTTGTATGGGCTCCTGGAATTCAAACGTATCATTATTCTATCTAATTTCAATTCAAATACAAAATTTTTTATGAGAAAAATACATTTTTAATCGTGATTCTTTATCTAATCGTTTGAGTTTAAATATATTTTCTTGTAATAAATAAAGTAATACACTTTTGCCAAGGAATTCTTCATCAAACAAAAACATGTAAGAAAAGAAAACCTTCATCCAAAATGCCAATGTTTTTCCGAAGCAATAACAGGCGACAGTTGGCGGACACTGGATATTGCATACAGATTATGAAATCTATTAACATTTTTTTTACAAAAATTAAAAACCTTTCCAGACATTAATACCGAAGCATGTCCATTTTCAACAAAAATAATAGTCCAACAGAGATAATTTTTTTTCTTTGTTATAATAGATTAACATAGAATCATTCCATTTTATAAAGTGAGTTTTTCCTTTCCCCAGAACTTATTTATCAGCAAATATTTCACTTAATTCATGCATTTATTAATAATTACTTGCCAAACTATTCTGAAAACTTCATATTGTTGAATCACCAAGTTCATGTTCATGATTATCTTTTTAGAAATGATAGAGATTTTTTCGTACCTCTTGCAAACACCGAGTTTTTAAACGTTCTCCTTTTTATTCCTTCTTTTATTAATGTACCCAATTCCATCTCAAAGAAATTTCTTCAAAAAAACTTTTTTTGCATTAACCTTAAACAAAATTTGATTGAAACTATTCTGAAATATCAATGTAATCGTCTTTTCTGTTATGTATGCTCAAATGTTTAAAAAGATCTGATTCATCATTGTTCATATTTCTTTGTTCTAATTGTGTTAAAGTGGTTTTAAATTCTTTTTAATAGCCTTTGATTCTATGATTTAAAAAAAAACAAGTAAAGAAACGGCCTAGTTAAAAAACTTTTGAACATTTTAAAGGGTTGTGATGTTCATTAGATGATGTTGTTCATTAACTAATGCAAATTCCCACACCAAGAGATTATCTTGATAAATCTTTCCTTCAGGGGAAGTTAAGTTTGGATAAAATCCTCCCAAAGGGGACTCAATGTTATTTTATCTTTAATTTATAGAGTTCTAGTTTTCTTTTTCCTTTCACTTTTCTAATCTTTAGAGAGGCGATTTTTCATTGCGTTATTTTAAATAGTTCTAAACTTTTAAAATTTTAAATGGAAGCAAACTCAGTTGATAAGAGAGACCCAAGCCGAATGATGTTACCGACTGACCCCATGAATGGGTATAATGTAATGTCATGGAAATGTTTCACTTTGTTACTCGTGTAAATCCACATGAATAATATTCAATTAATGTTTACTTGTAAAGTAATCTATCTAGTTTGTACATCTTGTTTGTACAATGTACATAATATTTGAATCGTAACTAACTTTATAATGCCGTGAATATTAGAAAAAAATGCTAGAGTTTGGCTGAGCAATGATTACAAGAGGGGAAACTTTAGTTCTCATACTACTTTTACAGGTATAAAACAAAAAGAATATTTTTTAATTCAAGAAATTAAAAAAACTTCTTTGAATCACTCAAATCTGTTTCAACCAACTTATTTCTTATTTTTCGGACTTTTTTTGTAATCAAGATAGCAGGTTAAACTGCTTTAATAAACTGCTTTAATTCATAATTCACTAATTGTTCTTTATAAGAACCGAAGTATTTTTAAATCCCTTACTTTTACATTTCCTAATTCACATAAAAGCTTTCAAAATATTCGTCTATCAACGACATCAAGTTACAAACATATAGAAATTGGAAAGTTACTGTCTCAGGCTGTGAACATTTTTCTACTTTTTCAGCTAACACATGCCCCTAGTTTAGGCTTAAAGCGGAGCTTTTATACCTATTGCCTGAATGCCATATTTTACCTATACCAGACTTAATCTATATTTAAACCTACTTCCAGTCATTGAATTTCAACACTTTTTAGCTTTAACAAAAGGAAGTAGATTGCACCGCTTTTGCAAAGAAATTTTGCTTAGTTTTTGCACCGACGCCATTAAAGGGAATTTGAAAATTTTTAGTTTTTCTTGAATTTGAATTAGCTGGGTCAGGGGCTTTTCAAAAAAGTTTAATTTTTTGCGCACTTTTTGTTTTGTACATTTTTTGCAAAATAACTTGATTTTGCAATTAACATAACAAAATAACAGTTTTGCCCAAAAAAATTACAGATCATTGAACAAGTGCCCAAGGGTTTTTCCAAAAATGTATCATATGTTATAGATTTGTCACACTAAGGAAAAAGAGGTGAGAGCTATTTTGGGAAAATGAGATGTCAGTCTGAATAGGGTTAAGACAAAAGGGTTCTAATGTATTTTTCAACCCCCATATATTTTGATAAAATAGAAAACAGGTTTTTTCGTTAACATCGTTTTATTTGGGCAATATTTTAGTCCTTGTGAATAATTATTGAAATAAATATCTTTTTAAATGGATGCAAAATATGTCGTTTAAGTTTGTGCTTCAGTCAGAAAATCAAGCAAAACAGGTAAACTGTTTGTAAATCACATTTTTGTTCATAGTTCATGGTAGGCAAAAGATAAGATAAACAGGCAAACTGACATCATAAAATGGGCACAAGATTGGTTTTCAGTTTTGAGATGGGTCTTTCAACCAGGAAACTTGTCAGCGTTTAAATTCCTCGTTATTCTAGAAACAAGGGGGCAACTAGCGCTTTTGCGAGGCTAGGATAAAATTGTATTTTTCATGGTTTTAGGGGTGGGTAAATAACTACAAAAGGAATTGAGTCTTTGGAACAAAATAAAATATTTAACCCTATAGAAATCGATGTTGTAAACCTTTGATATTTCAAACTTACATTGTTTGATCTAACAAAATTCATAGTTTGAAATATCTAAGGTTTACGACATTGGAATCCAAAGATATAGGGTTTAGCGCAGTTTTAAGGACTTGAGTAATATAGTTTTAAGATTATACTTAATGAAAAGCTTTATTTAAAAAAATGGTCTCATTGACAATCATGCCTGCATTCGACACAAATCTGTTATTTTATTTTCCTGCGCCTATTATGCGTTTTTTCGTCTAAATTTTGCATATTGTTCACTAAATAAAGAGGTTGTTAAGCAACTTTTTAACGAAACCTTCCTGATATGCCAATTCCTATCCCACACTTGTTAATATACCACAATACCAGTCAATTCAAAAATAAAAGAATTGAATTATTAATGTATATTGGGTAATGCAAGTTCAAACTTTTTAATCCGTTAGTTAACAATTAGGAAACGTCGAGGTCAAAAAGACAACATTTCTAAATGCACCACTTTCTTTTTGAATCCAAAATTCACCTCATGCAGACTGAAGTGCTATAAAATACAAAAGAAAAGATTGTTAATAGTAAATAAATAAATAAATTTGTGAATTTTGAACTGAAGATTGTGGTTTCCCTATCCTTTTGTGATGCAGTTTTAGTCATTTTGCGAACAAACAAACAAATACAATCTCAATAATTATCAAAATCAGGAGTTTTATTACGCTCTGCAGTGCAGAAGTTGTCGCATTCGCAGCCTATGTTGAATTTGAATATTAAAGTTTGATTTTGCTTTCTATCGTTGCTCTTCAAAAATCTCATGTCTTAGAGCTGACTAATCTTTTCAACAAACTTTACTTTGATAAGTTTAAAGTTTTTTAAGAGAAGTTTTATCATTAAATAGATATCACTATCTCTCATGCACTAGCCAACAACGTTTTTATTTGGTAAACACTTTATGAAGCTCTATTTTCATTTTTAATTCTTTCTGAGAAGTGTTTTGGATATTTTTTTAGTGTTAATAGTGTTAATTAACTATTAAACACCTCGTTATTCTTTATTTCCTAGTTGAAAAGTTAGCAATACAGGAAACAATTTTCAGAATCTGCTTGTTCCAATGCCCTTTTGTCTACGGTAACAAAAAATGTTACCTTTAATTTTAAAATCTTGATAATCGATATCAATTTTCTGGCTAAAATCTCTCTCTCAGGTTTCTAATATACTGTTTTCTTCGAATTTTCTTTATTCTGCTGGTTTGAATTTTTCTTTTGTTCTGGGGTTTAATCTATACACTTTTCTTTAGAATCCTTATCTCGTTTTCCAGAAATGAAATAATTTTAACTATTTCGGCATTTTATCATTACCTCCTAAGTCTGGAGAAAAATTTCAGTCTCTGACGAGAATTTAGAAATAGTTAAAAAATTTACAAGGACAATTTAAGTGCTTCAATTTCACTTAAACTTGGTAGTTCTAAGAAAGTTTAACGCTCAAACCTATTAAAGGTATAATTATATAGATAATTAATCATGGCTTGGGCGGATTATTTAAAAGAATGCACCCCTTGAAGCAAGCAAAAGTAGTCAATTTTTAAATTTTACTTATTTGTATTTTCGACAAAAAAAGCCATTCTATAGTTAGTAGATCAGTTTATCTCAAATTAGCCAATCTTTTATGTTCTGTAAAATGTGTGTATGGTACAGACAGTTTAATATTACTTCATCAATTTTTCAATACAGTTTTGAACAAGTAAACATAGCAAAATATGCTAAATCTATTTAATCGATTATAATGTCTATTATCAATATATAAACAGAAAGCTAGGTTAAGTGTTTTTTTGTGATAACATATTTGTTCATTTTTGGTCTTTTGGTTGCAAATAATGTATATTTCTGACTTTTTTTTTAATAAGGTAAATTTTTTTAAAATGTAAGAAAGGGCATTGGGTCTTTGACACAAACTCAATTTTTTATTCCCTATATCTTTGCAACCTGATTGTGTAAAACTTTGATATTTAACACTTAGATTTTTTATCTAACAGAACTCATATTATGAAATATCTAAGGTCTTCGAAATTGGGTTACAAAGAAATATGGATTCGAAAATTAAAATTTGTGACTAAGATACAATTCCATTCTCAATAATAACTTTTTCTTCCACGACAAGCATTTAGTTGGAAGGAAGGAATTTGTACTGGGTGTCAGTAATCATGCCCAGCAAGATCTGTAAATCCTCTCTTTAATAATATACCATTTACTGTACTGTACTGTACTGTACTGTACTGTACTGTACTGTACTGTACTGTACTGTACTGTACTGCACTGTACTGCACTGTACTGTACTGGGTGTCAGTAATCTTGGCCAGCAAGATCTGTAAATCCTCTCTTTAATAATATACCATTTACGTTCCCTTCATTAAAGCAATAACGGAGTGTGGCTGGGAATTCAAATCTTGGTTACGTTTTGAGCAAAATTCTCTTCTATCAAAACAATTGATCCGTTTGATCCGCAATTCAAAGATCTTAATTGATCCGTTTGATCCGCAATTCAAAAAAAACTCATTCTCATAAATATGAATTATTTCAAGATCCATGTTGCCACAATATATTTTTAAACATGGAGAATAAAGTAATTGAGCCTTTGCCACAAACACGGATTTTCCCATCCCTATATCTTGTTAACCTAAGGGCAAAAAATCTTTAATATTTGAAACTTAGGATTTTTGATCCATAAGAATTCATAGTTCATTGAGTTGAACATATACAGAGATTAGAAAATCAGAGTTTGTGGCAAAGACTCAATTTCGTTGAATTTTAGATAAAAATTTACTGCATTTTTTGTAAAAAGAAAAAGAAAAAATAAAAAACAATAATCAATAATAATAGTCTTATTCAAATTCCTCATTTTTTTATTAATAAGGACCATTTTATGTTTATTGATAAGTAACATTTCGAATCTTACCTCAAAAAAAAATTTTCCAACTTTTATAAATGTCAGGAGGTTTTAAAAAACAACCTGTGCTTAAAGTTTGATTTTGAATCAAAAGTATGAAGTAAGTGAGCGTTGCCCGTGGAATTAAAAAAAATTTTAAGAAACAAACAAAATCATTTCAAAAATCTAAATTTGAAAAAAAAATCTAATTTTGTTATTCTATGTTACCCCGTGGTACCCATGGGTTTCCTAACATGTCAGCCAATTTGGTCCTGCCGCTTGGCTAGCTATAGATAACATACAAAAATATACGTATGAGCGATCAGAGCTTTATTATCATTTTAGTTGAGAGTTCCAGATTTTTTTTATTGTGTTAGAGATAAAAAATATTTATGCATAATACAATCTGTTTTAATCTACTTTAAAACTGTACTTACATTTTAATTCTTTTATTATTTTATTTATTATTTCTAATGAAAGAAGAAGTGGTTATTTGTTTCTTTTTAATATGTTCAGTGGTTATTTCTAATACACAATGCATTCTAATGTATACAATATACATGGAGTATTGAACATAGATAATAGTATTCAACTTCTATGGTTCCTCCAGGTTAGGTCTGGAGAATGTTTCCAAATTTTTAACTTTACTTTTACAAAACAATATATTTTCTAAACTAACCAAGACTTGAATACATAAAGCAAACCACGGATTGCAATTGATGTCGAATTAAAATCAAAGCACAAACAAATATAAATATATGCATTTATGCAATATAAAATTTAAGAAAAATTAGAAGAAATGACTCATTACAACCGAGGTGAATGGCTAGGGTCTCCAGCAAAGTTGTTCTCTGACTGAAACTGTGGCTTGGGTCTTCAACTGTGTAATGCACAATATATACATAATTAAAACAAACTGCCAAAACGTGTAATTATTCATTGAGAAAAGAGAAGAAAAAAATGTGATGGGAGTCATAAATGAGACTACCAAATATCACATTGTGTAGCACAAATTCATCAGAAATAAAGAAATTAAAGACAAGGAACATCTTCTGTTTAGGATAAGACTGTACAGTTGAGTACGGGAAGTGTAGAGGAATTTTCTATGGCGGGGATAATGGGAGAAAATGAAACAAAACTCAGGAAACACTGAAACCATTGCAAATCCTAAACAAGGTTTATTTTCCACATAATAACATTTTATGAGATCCTAATAATACTCCCATCCTGTTCCGTTAGATCTATTCATGTAAAATGCTTCTGCAAACCCTCCGTTGATTTCTTTAAAATGCCCATCGAATTTTATCTCAATCATGTGTTTGGTGTCTATTCTGAACCAATAGAAATTGCATGGCAGTATCATCTATAATCTTTCTATCTATCTCATTATTCAATTACAGATGAATCCTTAAATCGGCCCTAAAAAGTAAATGGAAATTTTTACTTCTCCTGAAATCATAGTGATAAACAAAAGTATGCATTGTATTTTGCTTTATTTAGCTAATTAGATAATCAAGTTTTTGTCGATTTTTTTGCTTGTGTCCTTAACATAATTGATAAAAAATCCCAATTAAAAATTAATAATCTGTAATATTTCTTTGTTCTTTGTTCAATAATGTACGAAGGGAAAATTTTTTGCTTACCTGAGAGAATAATTTAACAAATAGTTAAAATTATTACTCTATTAAAACACAGAAGTCAATCATCATAATGTTATTCACGCAAACAAATAAAAACAATATCATACTATCTTCTTATATTTTTTTTATGAACTCGGTTTCTGTGCATTACAGACATATTAACAAGAAGAATCTTTTACAAACAAGGAGCGGAAAATACACTACAAGGTAATGTTTTAAATGGCATGTTTTATATTTCTGAAAAGTATAAAACACAATAATCCCAAATAAGCTCTGTTGACACTCAGGATAGAAAATATGCAAGGTGCCAAAATATTTCTTTGTTCTTATCATCATATCCTTTGGATAGCTGAGTATTAGACGAGAGGGGGAGGGGAGAGTGGTTATAATTCAAAAGTATTTGCTTTTATAAAAACAATTCTATGTTTATCCAATAAATTTCAAAACGTCTGAAATAGCATACCAATACACATGGAAAATCTATAATTACTTACATTTGTATATATAAAGACAAATTAGATATGTGATAAAGGAAAAAAGTACATATTTATATTTTCTATATATATATATACATATAAAAAAATTCGCAGATTTTCAAGAATTTAAAATTTTTTTAAAAATTAAAAACCTTTAAAACACATTTTTTAAAGTTTTTATCATTCATAAACCTTCCCTGTGGTCACGTGATGTCCCACAAAAAATTTGGGCCCGATTGGTTCAGCCGTTTTAACGTTTATTGGATACAAACAAACAAACAAACACCCAGACAAGCTAAATTTATAAATAGATGTATATTTTTTTAAATTCAAATAACGCTAATCCGCCAACTCTTCCCTGAAAATACGCAAACAGAAAAAATACTGGAATATTATGCAGTCGAGAACAGACCTCACTGAAGATTGGTTCATGGCAAAATTGGTCCATGAAACATTGTGTATGAGGATGTTTTTCTGTTTTTTTTTATTGAATAATAAATTAAATATATATATATATTTTTATAATATAGTTATATATGTTTATGAGGATGTTTATCTGCTTTTTTTGATTGAATAATTGATTATGTATATTTATATATCCCCAACTGAATTAGCTGCACTGCGTAATTTAAGAAAAAAGGTTAAGGTCGTACTCGTAGAGTACAAATAGAATATAGAAAAAATGCAATGGACATTTTCAACATCTAATCAATATTGCAGTTGGATATACATTTTTACCAAAGTAATAATTTCCATGATAATTCAGGCAAAAAAAAATAATCAATAAATCATTGGTTATCAGGAAATTTAATGCTACTGTAAATGCTATTCATCGTTTGTAAAATTTCACTTTTATGTTTTTAACCAAAAAAGGCATTTCTCATAAAACTTGCTTGTAAACAATTGAAAATAATAAAATTTCGTATTTTAAAATTTTAAAATTTTCTTCAGAGTAGTTTGGGAGTTTGAAACTTTTTTCTATTTTGACCTTTCAAGACCTACCTTTATCAGCTGCAGGTATTCAGCTATAGTTATTGAGAAGTTTTCTGAAAAGATATATATATTTCTGTTACCTTAAGTAAAGGATGGACAGGAGTCAGACATGTTATCATCTATTCAGGTTGTGGGAAATATATTTTTGGTATATAATCAGCTTTCTATACAAACATGTAATAATATAACAAATAAATAGCTTAAGTGAATCTCTTTATCCAAAGGAGTTTCCTTCAATTCTTCTTAATATCAACAAGAAAATACATTTGAATCAATAGAAGACAAAAGCCAAAAAATATAAAAGTGTTATAATGTTAGTACGAAATCTACCTTTTATGAATATATTAAAAAGATTTGAGCGGATTTGGTTCATTTAATGTTAATAATAATAAAAATGTATTTCGACATTTCAATTTATAAAGATTTTATTTTAACAATTGGGTCTGAGTGAGACCTTTCTTTTTGAGACTTTAAAATCGGCTCTAGCATTTTACGGTGAAACTATTATTATTTCTTTTTATAAACATCTTCAGATTCCTGTAAACTAATTCAGAGTTTTACATAACATTTTATAATCCTTATAGCTTTGCATTCTGATAGTGTAAAGCTCTGAAATTTAAAACTAAGATTATTTGATCTATAACAGATTTCTTGGTAAGAAAGATCTAAGGGCTACGACAATGGGTTGCAAAGATTTAGGATCTAGAAAATCAGAGTTTGTGGCAAAGGCTCAATTCTTTTGTCACCTTGCCTTATAAAAAAAAACACTATTTAGAATTAAGCCTAATAAAGTTGATTCCTGTCTTTTTGTGTGTTCTGTTATAATACATAATGAAATTACACTACCCAAGGCAACACAGGAACTATGTAAGACTGGATCTCAGCAGACTAGAATGTTTTACAAAATTACCGAAAATATGACAGGACATCAATAGATCTCACAAGATCACAATAAAACTATCGAACAGTAAAAGAGTCGATTTAAAGATTTAAGATTTACACTCTCATTACTTTAAATGTTCTTTTCTGTTTTAAAATTCTAAGTTCAATTGAGTTCAAACTTTTTTCTCCCAACTGTGTATATTTAATTTTAAAAGTTGTTAAGGTAATTTAGTTTGTGTAAAATGTAAAGTTAGATGTATACTAGTATCAGGGGAGCATAAACCACATTTATCTTTAGAACTGTATGTATTTAGAAACACTATACATAGTTTATGCGATTTACAATCTAATTAACATAAACAAACAATTAAGAAAACCAGAAATTCATGAATTTAATTTTCATATATTTTTTATTGCATTGATCAATAGAAAAAATGATAGATTCAAATTTGGTAAGCCTGTAAAACCAGTGCATTCCCAGAAGAAGGTTCTGTCTGCCAGAAAGTCTCCAAACTGATTGTTACCTTACACTTGTTTGAAAAATTGAAATGTAGTAAAATAAGTTTTTTTATGCTTTTTTTTAGGGAAGAAATCCAAAAAGCCCCGTCTGAAGATCATCCCTGCCGGCCAACTAAGGAATTCGACCTGAAAAAAAATGCTTAAACTGAGTTCGAAATAATGAATAACTATTAACACTTTTAGTCTGAACAAAAATTCTTTCGCTTTTTAAAGGGAGTGTTCGCGAAAAATGAAAGGGGGTATAGGCTTAATGCGATAAAAAAGCGCTTTTGATCGCTACTAATCTTACTTCTATCTGTTGCGTCTATAGGAAGAAAATTGTCAAAGACGTCTCATACCAATAACATGGCGTCCATACAAATTCAGAAAATTGCAACATACGACTTAGATATTACAACCTATCGTCATCGATTATCTTTCGCCACATTTATATATAGTTAATTTTTCATGATATGTTTTAATTGTTATGATCTGAGAGTTACTTATAAAAACGTTTATTCCTGTTTCGAAGATTTTTGGTAATGAAGACGACATTTTCATATTTTCCAGGAATGTTCGAAAACAAATTGTAAGCTAAATATTATTCTAAAAAACAAAATCAAAACTAGTATAAAATATTAAATATATACAAATGTGGCGAAAGATAATCGATAACTATAGGTTGTAGTATCTGAATGATTTGTTTGATATTAATTTGATTTTTTTACGGTCTAAGTCGTATGTTCCAACTTCCTCAATTTGTATGAGCGCTACGCTCTTCGGTATGAGACGTCTTTATCAATTTTCTCCTTATAGACGCAACAGATAGAAGTAAGATTAGTAGCGATCAAAAGCGCTTTTTTTTATCGCATTAAGCCTATACCCCCTTTCATTTTTCGCGAACACTTCCTTTAATAATAAATGATTTTGATCATGGTTGATGCTACCTCAGACTTCAGTGAAGATAACCTTCCCTGATATGAAGAGTGAAGTGTTCGTCAATTTCCTAGGGTACAAGGAGCCCAACCTTATGCAGCTTTTGAGGTAGAGTCACGTGATATAATATAATATGCAAAAATATTAGTTATTGAATTTTCACAAAATTACATCCCTTGACACTTTAAATCGGAGTTGTGTAATTGTTCCATGGAATTGAGATTTGTATTTACAATAACCATATTTTTTGGCAATTACCAGTATCGTCAGTTATTCCAGCGATGAGTTATTCCGAAACATCTTCTATTTCAACTTTTACTTGCTTAATCTTTCAGCATTTTTTCTTCTATAAAACAACCACAACAAATTTTGGGGATCTACAATTTTTTCATGTATTTTCATAATTTTAAAACAATTTTTTTGGTCATTTCTGAGCATCAATATAACCTTGATTGGGGACATATGTGAGGTCCCACAAAAAATGTGGGCCCGAACGGTTCAGCTGTTTTGACGTTTATCGGTTACAAACAAACAGACAAAAGCTAAGCAATGTATTTATATCGAATATCGATGGACAAATGATTAAGTACAAAACAACATTCAGGAAGGCTACAACTTGATAGAAAAAAAGCAACAAATAAGAACCTCTTTTTGTTGGTTAAAATTGGCATGATTTATTCATCAATTAACATAAAAATGGATCAAAAATCTAATATTGTCAACTAGGCACAGACAAAAAGTGGAAGAAAATATTTGGCCTTGATACCTAAAATTTTTTAATCATTGATTAAACATTGTACAGGCAGACTGTACTTTCTGAAAGGTAAATGAAAACCGGTTAACTTGATTTAGATTTTTCTTTAGTTAAAGGGACGGTCTGGCTATGTAAAGTAGATGAACTGAGTATAGCAGTGTTGTGGACAAATTCTTTAGGATTTATTTGAGACATATAAAACTTTTTAAAGATCTGTAAATCCTAAGTTTGAGCGCAAATTCAACGTTCAAAATCGTACTTTTTGGTGGATACGTTTTCAGCATTGTTTTTTTTTAATTATTAAATAACGGCGACAAAAAATGTTAACAAAATTCTACAGTAAATTAATTAGTTGTTTAGGAACAGGTTGAGAAAATAAAAATTAATCTTATTATCGAGAAAACAAGTAATCTTGTTCAATTATGATAGTTTTTATTTTCTCATTCTTCTAATTTCTCATTATTTACAAAGATTTTCTGCAGAGTTTCTGGAATTATTATTGAAAAGACGATATTTGAAGAATTTGTAGAAATCTGGGAATACATTTTCAAAAAAGTAAGAAACGTAGTTTCATGATGAAAACGAAATAATTGATTCTAGCATTTATTTATTGACAAAGGAATTGAGTCTTTGTAACAAACTCTGATTTTCTAAAACCTATATTTCTTCCAACTGATGGTGTAAACCTTTGATATTTCAAACTTAGATTTTTTTTATCTAACAGAATTCATAGTTTGAAATATCTAAGGTCTACGGAATTGGGTTACAAAGATATAGAGATTAGATAATCATAGTTTGTGACAAAGACTCAATTCCTTCCTTATGAGAAATATGTTTGCTGAATAATTTTTACTTTATTTCTCGTCGTCGTTATTCAATAATTTAAAAAACCGATTCTGAAAACGTACCCACCCAAATTCATGATTTTGAACGTCGACTATGCACTCAAACTCAGTAATTATACATCCTGGAAAATTGTTGTATGTCTCAAATGAATCCTAAAGAAATTGTCCACAACACTGCATACAACCTTTCATAGCCTGTCTGTCCCTTTAAATACAAATAGTGACAACCAGACTATTAAATCTCAAGGGGAGGATTACAATCCAGGGCACACAGAGAATTTATGACAATAAATTTACAAACTGTTTACAATATTGATTTGACAAATTTTAAAAATATTAAGGTAGCCCTTGGCAACTGTTTTACTTTAATTGTATTTAAATCCACATTTCTCTGGATTAATACAAGTTTATATAAATTTCTGTTATCATACCAGTTGAACATAAATTCAGAACATTTTCAGAAATAAACTCTGTCTGAAGGTAATTTTAACCCGATCTAAGCTAGAAAAACATTTGTGTTAAATATTAGCACTCAATGACGATCAGAACCTGAAATCTTAAGGGGAGGGGGTCCACCAAAGAGAATAAAATATATATCAGAGTGGAATTTAATAAATCCCTCGGTATGAATTTTGTCAGCCCTTGTTAGCCTGTAAGGGATTTCAAAGTGTAAAAATCATGTAAATGTTCACAAATTATATGCAGTTCAATTAAGATATATTTCTTTAGATCCAATATCTATAAACAAAAAGAATAGAATATATATTAGAGTGGAATTTAGACAATCCCTCGGTATGAATTTTGTCAGGCCCTTTCAGCCTGAAAGGGAGTTAAAAGTGTACAAATCATGTAAATGTTCACGAATTATATGCAGTAGAGAACATTAATTCAGTATGTTCCCTAGACTATCCATTTCAATTTCGAATTTTTTAAGCTGTTAAATAAACTTATAAAATGAATTAGGTGAATAAAAAACATCATGTCATTTATAGTTATAACGAAAAATCATTGTTTGTAACGTGAAAGACATAGTATATGTGAAATTATCATTGGTTTTAATTATGAAACCAGCCTATTTCAAAATTTGGGTTTCTTTTAATATTAATTTTAGATTTTAAATAAAATGATGTTCCAGGGCCCAAAAGGTTATATAGCACAAATATGTGAAGCACACCTGAAGCACACCTGCAGTATGGAAACAGTACATTAAAATGGCCGTTTTACCCTTTCTTCGAGTAAATTCCTCTCTAATATATATTCTATTCTCTTTGCGGTCCACTTTCCCGGCACTATGTCTTATTTCCGACTGTTAACTGCCCTTTGTTGGAATTGCCTTTTGAGGTAGCATGCATTTATAATGTATATATTTAACCCTATCATAGGTGCAAGGGAAGGTGCAGTTCTACTAATGAAGAAATAGATTGTGTGGCAACTAGAGTTAGACAAAAGAGAGTAAAGATGACGGTGAAAACGACGGTAAACCAAAAATATGCTTATTGTTTAATAAGACAGTTTTAACATACTTAACAAACATGAAAATTCAAAAAAGTTTCTGTATTTGTTTAGCAAGTAGCGCTTATAAATCACGTGGAACACATATTTTATACAGTTTAACGAATGTATGAACAATATTGCTTCCGTAATGTTTAAAGAGATTGTTAAATTTCAAATCTACTCAATACTCATAATATCCTTAATTTTGTAATTAAGAACACAACTAATATTACCACACAAAGATGTTCATAATTAATGATTTTCGAGCAAAAGTTCAGAAAGGAATCTCATAACTTCATAATATTCCAGCCAAAAAAAGTTTTTTTAATCAAAAATCAAATATGACAGGAATTCAATCCATTTTATGTTTTAAACTCTGTTTCTTTTTCAAAATAGAATAACAGCACACATGAACAATACGATAAACAATAAAAAGATGTCCTTGTTATCTCTCTGAAAAGGACCGTTCACTTATTATTTGTGTAATTTCATGGTAAACTAATTACCCTATTAGCTATTAATTGGTATTAGTCTTACTTTTTAAAGATATCTATGACCGGAGAAAAGGCCGATCTATCGCTTAGAATCCAGCAGGGAAAGGTATGTTACAAAGACACTATTCCAACGTTTTTTCAGTCCAATAAAATCTAAAATTATCATATTTCAATGACATCAGTGTCAGCCATTATTTTAAAAAAAATAAAACTTCTGATTTTAAAATTAGCAAGAAATTAACGTGTCCAAATATGATTTAACAAATTAACATGTTTATGCAAAGACGTCTTTCTCTCTCAGAAAAACCGGTTCCTAGATTCCAACTTTTCAATAAATCACGGGGATTTCTTGAAAAGTAGGGGAAACGTATCAAACTGTCAAATGCTTATAATTAGTTATATTTTAAAAATAGACAATTTTAAAATAATTTTTTTTTTAAAATTAAAGATCTCTACAGTTAACTATTAGATACTAGAATTTAGTTAAATATTTGATAATATTTAAAAATCCATGGCTATGACAAAAAACATCAAATAGTGACATTGCTCTGGAATTCTGAATGATAAATTGGCTCAGTTCACAGTTGTCTTTGAAAATAAGACTCATACCAATGAATAGCTAATAGGCTAATAGGCTATTTAGTTTACCCTAAAATTAGCCAAATAAGTGAACTGTCTCTTTAAGTTGTGTTGAATTGTATCAATCTTTCCTCTTTCTCTCTACTACCAAAATAAATCGGCAAGCCACTTTTATAGGGAAGGCCCCTAATTTAAAGTTACTAGAAATTCAAGGCGCTTCGCGCCCTTCTTTCTAGCTTTAAAAGGGCGCTTCGCGCCCATCTTCTAAATTAGTTGTGAACATGTTCTCTTTGTGTACATCGTAAAACAAAACAAAAATAATTCGCGGATTTTCACAACAAATTTCGCGGATTTTCAAAAATTTTAAAAATTTAATGACGATCGAATTTTGATGGAGACAAATATTTGAAATTTTGATTTTTCATAAACCTTCCCTGGGGTCCCTAGATGTCCCACAACAAATTTGGGCCCGATCGGTTCAGCCGTTTTGACGTTTATTGGATACAAACAAACAAACAGACAAACAGACACCCAGACAGACTAGCCAAATTTATATATAGATGAATTAACTGTAAATCAAATAAATTATAAATTTAAATCAGGCATGTAACTCTGCTTTTTAAACATAATTGCATAAAGGAAAGAAAATTTGTTGATCGTTAATTTGACAAACCATTATTTTGACTTAGATTGGCATTAACTGCTTCCACCCAATTAATTGAGTTCTATGCAGTTAATAGGACGAGATCCAAGGGAAAAGATGAAAGAGATGTTGCTGGATGAACACGTAGATTGCGGCTGCCAGGCAAACAAAGATCTTTTGATGATATGTAATCCAGGATAATTTACAGATCGTGGCAAATATTTTAGATTTCTTGGGGTTTTCGGGTTTGACGCAAATTTAGATATCAAAAGAGTGAATCTTGTTTAGTCATTTTTGACCCTCAGTATTAGGATTACAATGTAAGAACTTTTGATGCTCTTGCACATCTTTTGTTTTGTATGTATCTTAATTAACCTTTGAGATTTCAGAGAAATAGAAATTTCATAAAAGATCAAAGAAAAGGAATTTCTTTACTTATATTAAAGGTTCTTCGTCATTCATAAATTTGATGTCAATTTTGAACCCTATTCCTGCTGAGGGGGGGGGGGTCAATTTAACCCCTACCCCCTGTAGTTTTTTACAAAACTCAAAAAGTTTTGGTCTGAGACTGTTGAAATCTTCTGACTTTTCCTAAAAGCCCTCCCTTTAGACCTAAAACCGGGCTTTTAATCTAACTGCCTAAATGACTACTTAGTACTTTCAGTTGTCAGATTTTGATAACTTTAGCTATTTGGAAAGCCTATGAAATTACAAGGAAACGGATTGCACAAATTTTGCAAAAAATAGTTTACAAATTATTTGCAAACAACCCGTCAAAGGAAATTTGCATATTTTTAGTTTTTCTTAGTTACTCATCAGGTTGTTTAAAATTTTGCAAATATTTTTGCATATTTGAAATAGCATGGTTAAGGGATTTTCAAAAATGTATATTTTATCATTTTTTGGACATTTTCAATAAAACTGGATTTTGCAAAAAAAAAAAGATTTAGCAAATTTGCAAATTTTTTTCAGATTCTAAAAGTAGAACAAAAAAGCTTTCCATTGCATGATGTATCATTTGTCATATTTGGACATCAAACATGGGATAAAGAGGGAGGGGGGTCAAATTCACCCCCTTCCCCAGCGTTTCCTGGATTTCCTGTCCCTAAGGGATAGGGTTAAAAACAATATTTTCTGGGTTTTACTAGATATAGAATTAAAAATTCAGTATTCAATCTATGTGATGAGACAGTAAGTATTGATTTATGGGTTAGTTTAGAGGATTTGAGGGATATCAGGAAAAGATGAGTTCATGCCCGAAGTACAAGTTTAAATTACAAGTTTAATACCATTATTGAATAATGTACCTTGTATACACATTGTATTTCAGAAAACAATTTAGATTATATAATGTTAAACAAAATCAAAGGAATGTGGGAACAGTGTTGATTTTGGTCATTTACTAAAAACTACTTCTGATACTAAACGTCATTTTAAATATAAACTGCACCTTTGTTAAACGGTAAAATCTTGTTTTCTTATAATATTTTTGTCAGTCTGGAAAAAAATACAATATTCAATACTCAATCTTGTTAAGAATTGGTAAATTAATATAAACAAAATAAAAAACAAAAATAATTTTCTTTCATTTAAATATAAATATAATATAATATAATACGATATAAATATTTTAAACACATAATGTTAGAAATGGGCTATAATCCTGGTTTGGAACTTATGTCCCCGAATAGAGTCTTTTACAGTTTAAATAAATAAAGATCTAGGGGAGTGTACAGTGCAAGCATATATCTTCACTTAGCTGTCGAGGAAGATTTAACAACGAAACTTGTGAATGCGAATGCGATGAGCAAATTTATAAAAATAAAATGTTAAGGTAAATATTTTTTCATATAAAGGAAATGCAATATGTTAAAAAGTTATTCAACTTTCTTGAAATAGCAATCACTATAAAACCGAAACCTTCAATATACTTCTAAAGCCAGCAAAAATGTCGTCATAAAATGTTTGCTGTATGATGTTTTTAAATGTCAAAAACAACTGGGAACGGATTTAAGTAAGTTTTAATAATTTAAAAATAAGAAAGAATTACTATTTCAACGAAAATGTAAAATTATTTTTGCTCCGGCATAAAAATCTACCACAAAAATTAGGAGCAATATGTATTAAAGAAAAAAAATCAAACGATTTCAAAAATATTATCTCATTGGAGAGGTTGATTTTTTTAAATTTTCTAAATATGTTAATATTAGTATCAAATGCTGCGTTTCGAACCGTTAAATGCTGTCAATTTTCGTTTTCGCTATTTCTAAAAAAAAATGATTTAAAGCTAAAACAATTAGATACTCTGAAAAACCTTTTTCTTAAAATTTGATATTTTGAATGGATTTTTACGACACCAATATTGTTTTGTTTTGACGATTTTTTTGTTGCAATGTTTTGTTCGACACAAAAAGGCAAAAATCGTAACATTTTTTATTCTCAAATAAAAAAATATTGCATTAACAATAAATTTAAGCATTTTTATCAAAAAGTTACCAATAGCCAGATTCTTAGCATTTCAAAGAGGCACGGACTCTACAATTAAATAAATTAAGGTTTCTAACTAGGTGGCCTAAGTCCAGATAGGATGAAAAGCTATAAATCGCAATAAAATTAAACCTCGAAATTTTAGTCCAGCTGCTTGGATAGTATCATCGGTCAAAACAACACTATTTTGTCAAAAATCTGTATTACGAAAATCTTTTCGTATATTTGATCAATAAACAATGAGGAGATAAAGACTTTGGTGTCAAATATATGTAAATTTTTTAGGACTTGAAGGAAATCTTATAATCTTATGGAAGAAAATAAAGGGAAAATTTGACTAATTTCCTCTATAAGTAAAGACTAAGTTGACGTCAATTTGCTTTACGGATTTTAAAAAAGATAATTAACTCTTGTATTCGTTTACCGACAAGAATATTAAGTAATGCAATAGTAATGAAAAGCCAAAATATTTTGTCATTTAGTTGTGAGTTGGCAAAGAATTCATACTGGGATACTACAAGCTGTCAGGAAAGTGAACAATAAAGGATTGGTTACATTTTTAAATACATAATACAAGCAAAGAAATATTAAAAACAAAGTATAATCGTTATTTTATAGTTTTGTTGATTTTTTTTTCGATCGCACACATTTGTTTCCTGAGGTAATAAAAAAGTAGTTCTGATACAATAAATAAATCAACAACCCGGTTATGTGTGATACAACAAAAGTTTGAGCCCGATTAATTTAGCTGTTTTAACATTTGGTTACAAACAAACATACGATCCAAATAAATTAATAATATGATTTTATGTAGGTTCAGGGCCATTTGCACTTGGGGTCCATCTCTATAGGCTCTAGATGTACTCTAGATGAAGTTCTATCAAATTCAAATTTCACAGAAATGGATCTGCTGGATTGTCAATCATGCACTAGAAGCATACAAATTCGCACACACATAAACTTCTTGATATCAAAGGTCAGACTCGTTCAATGTCACAGAACAGTGAAGCATGTTATTTACACTATTTCATCTTTCAACATCGTTCTCCATGGGTTCTAAGGCATAAAACACCTGAACTACAAAACGTACACGCAATTAAAAACAGTCAAAACCTCTTCAACCATTTTCCTGAAAAATTCTCTAGGCTTAAATGAGACTAAATGAGAGAGATAAAAAAATTGAAATATATTTAAGTTGAATTTTATAACAGCGGATTTAAACACGTTTATGTATCTATTTAATGAAAACTGGCTATGTATGTATATATATTTGTTTTTTGCTTTAGTACAAAAGGAATTTAGAAGTGCACAACATAGCGGAAAATATAAATGTCTGTTTCTTGTAGTATTATTTGAAAAGGCAGGTTGTCTTTATGTTCCTGTTATCTTTCCAGAACAAAATTTATTTAATCTAAAGAAATGTATTTTGAGAAGTTGAAAGCCATCGGAACTAGGAGGACATTTGGACATTTTCCTTAATTTTTAGAAAAACGAAAAAAATTAAAAAATGCAGAAGGTTAAAAATATGGTAATACGGTGGTTTTTTCATTGAAAGAAAAAATCACCGTAAATCTTCATTTTCTCTGAGGACGGTATCAGCGTGTACTTCCTCCTTCATTTTTAAGTTTTTGTATTTCTTATTTCACCTGAGATGTATGCAAGAGAAAAGCTAAAGATGAAATTTCACTATTTATTTCCTTCATTCCTTTATCTTGTCTGGGATGAATTACTCCCATCCTGGGACCGCTTTTATGCCTGCTCCCGGCTTCGTTTCACAGAGAAGGAACTTGGGACCTCTACTTTGAGCGAGTAAGATAGTAAAAGGCTAATTAATTACGAAAATTTATACAGAGACCAGATGCAATTAATAGAAAGACAGAGTGAACCCTTGTGGACTTCTTTGGCTTGACCGGGCTCATAACAGAAGTAGTTCAATTTAGTTTACGTGATTAAATATGTCTCGCTCTTGATTTTTAAGATCTAAATATTTTGTTTGTAAAGTTAGTGGTTGGTACATACAACATACTAATCAAGCTCACCAGTGCTAGTGTTACAATTTTATTTCTAAATATTTTTTTTTCTATTTTTTAATATACATTGTACGGCGCGGAATTAACTTATGGTATTCAAATTTGATACAAATTCAAGGATGTTTAAAAACTGAACATGTTTTTCCCTCTTAGGCTAAATAATTATCCGATCTTAATGAATCTAATTTAACAGTGGCTCTATAGTATATGGATGTTAGGATAACATGGTTCAAAATTATCGGATTAATGATCTGAATCTGCAGCTCTTCATTTGTTACGGATGGAAATGATACGCCTATAGTACAGAATTCATCACTGTGGTGATTTGCTTCAGTTGACAGAGGTTTTCGCATTTCTTTCTGACAACCTTTTTAAAGTTGCCCCAAATATTTTTAACTATAGGCCAGACATTGAAAACCTTCATAGACATTGTCAAGTGTAAACCAAACTATGATTGAAACTATTGAAGAAGCTGGCAGCAGGGGCTGTTTACAGGTACGTTCGTCCAGCTAGCTGAGCCCTCATGGACCAGATTAGAATTATTTTATACCTGGAAAAGCTTTCGACATAGTAAGGTATATTCCTTTTTGTAAAAACATATGGTCCTGTTAGCTTAGTAATGGTCCAATTCTTCTAAATTGTTGTCCTTGCTGAATGCGTTTGCCAGGAAACGTTTTCCTCCAGGCGTCTAATAGGTGATTGCCAGCCTGAACTTGTAATCTAATAATATACAAAGCTTTTCATAATTTGAGGTTTTTGAATACTTTTAAACAGATTCTTGTCATTTTCACGCCATTATGTACATCCCTGAGTTTTGTAAAAAGGAAATAATCACGTAGGCCTAAATTTGCTTTTTCGACAGTTATTTTAACACTGTATTTGTGCAAAAATGTGAATGGTTTCGTTATTTTCAATACCCTTTAGTATGAATGTGCTAAGATCTATTGAAGGATACAGTGTGAACTGAATGTATAATCCTTGTTTTAAGCGTGTTAAACCTAAAAGTTACATTAAAATAGCGCATTCCAAATGATGTTTTCTGGGGACCGAAGCGCTATCTTTTCTAATTTTATGCAGGAGCTTATCTTTAATGTGCTGACCCTGACTATATTTTAACACACTGTTGCAAAATGGTCAAAAAATAGCTCGCGATCTTCTAACATCGATATTAGATGAGTTTTCGAAATCAGCTAGAGCACTCTGCTGCTCAGTTTTTTTTTTGTCTTTATGTTTATGTCAGTTTTTCTCAGTTTTCCTCTGTTAAGATTCAGTTTCCAGCGAACCTTTAATCTAAGGTCTTTCTTCCTCATATACTTTGCTTGTCTATTTGATTGTTTGTTTGTAATCGATAAGCGTAAAAACGACTGAATCAATCGGGCCTAGATTTTTATGTGGGAGCTCACATGATCCCAGGGAAGGATTATGAATAGTTAGAATTGAAGAAAAGAACTGAGTTTTTGCCACAAACTAAATTTTTATAATCCCTATATCTTTGCAGCCTGATGTTGTAAACCTTCGATATTTCAAACTTAGATTATGTGGTCTAATATGATTTATAGTTTGAAATATCAAGGGTATACGACATTAGGTTGTAAAGTTATAGGAATGAGAAAATCAGAGTTTGTGGCACAAACTCAATTTCTTTGCATTAATAAAAATCGATTTTTTATAAATCCACGAAAACATGCTATGTTTAAGTTTATATTTACCCTTATTCTCCTCGGGTGTTCTTACAGTTTAAAATTTGATTTTTTTTATAGAAACTAAGTTTTTGTCACAAACTCCATTTATTTAATCCCTATTTCTCTGCATCCCAATGTCACAGACCTTTGATATTTCAAACTATGACTTCTGTTAAATCGAATAGTTTCAGTTTGATATATTAAAGATTCACTCCATCAGGTTGCAAAGATTAAGGGATTAGAAAATTTGAGTTTGTGGAAAAACTCAATTCCTTTCATTAAACTGAAACTGAGTGTTTACCTGAACCCTGTTCTAAATCTGAATCTGACTGTGTCCAGATGCTTTGTTTTTCCTTATCTGGAAAACTCGCCTTATTGTAACTTTATTAATTTTATTTTGTAGATTGTAATTATCGCCCAATACATAATACAATTCAGTTTTTAAAGAAATAGATTGTTTTCAAAGAAATTTTCCCCTTTTGAAGTTGGGTATTATCAAACTTAGATAGGTTTTGTCTTACATTCTTTTATTTGTGTTAAAATAAAAAATTGATTCTAAATAGTGTGTCACTTTATGCAGTGTAAAAGTAAAAGCGTTTCAACACGAGGAGTAGATCCATATACTTCTGAGTGTGTAGGCCCAGATTCAGTTGGAGTTCATGATACGTACAATCAGGTAAAAATCAATCTACATTCCGGGCAAATAATACACAAATTTAATCATACCGTTTATCGTTAATCTAATAATTCTGAGAAAATCACTATATTCTACTAATTTCAGGTTTTTGTGTATTAAACCCTAATTGACATATTTATATAATAAAGCTCTTAGCTCATATAATTATATTTGTAAATGTATATGTATGTATATACGTTAGCTATAGCTGGCCAAATAGCTGGACCAAATTGGCTGACATTTTTTGAGGGAACCCATTTAATTAAAATTTTTTATTCGATTTTTAAAAAATCCCACGGACAGCGCGGGAAACTTCAGTTACTTGTCATTAATTTATAGATTTCAATAGCTTTTAAATCACATTTTTCTTAAAGATATAATTTTATGATTAGTAAACCTTATAAATATTGTTATATTTAAGATTATATTTTTATAGTAAATGACTCTTGCAATCAGTGCCTGAAAAGCAATTGCAGACTTGTTTAAATAATTTGTTTAAACTCAAATTCTATTTTAAACTTTCTTTCAGGAGGAGTCCATATCTTCAGAGGTAATACTTTACCGACCTCAAAAATTAATGCATCCAGAAATATTTAATATTGCAGATTTTCATTTTCCCTCGGGTATTTATTTTACACAAAAACTTGGATAGATCATTTTTTATTTTCATGAAAGAAAAGAGTAATCTCAAGACAAATTTGAAAGAAAAAAAAAACCTAAAAATAGTTTGATCAGTAGATTTGGTCAAAGAAATTACTTTTAAAATCAATAACGACGAAAATGGAATCAGAACAACACACATATTGTGGTTCTATACTGGACTTTCAATAGTCTTAAATTTAATTTTCTTAAAGCATATTTAATGAACATAATGTCAGCACAGTATTGTAAAAAAAATGATACGAAATAAAGGATTTGTAGTTATTATTCTAAAAGTACCTTTACCTTTACTTTGCGAATTATTTACACTCAACGGTTTGCAAAAAAAAGTAACCATGTACAGAACATACATTTTAGTAGTTAGTAATGAAGTTATTTTGTTGTTCTCTCGCTGTCTGTCAAGAGGAAATCTCTCATTCATAAAAAATTCAAAATTTCATGGCATTTATGAGGTTAGTTTCAAGATATCACTAGAGGAGCCCTCGCAATACCTAATGCTTTCCTGGTATTGAAGGCAATAATTCTGCACTTAGTAAAATCGAGCTCATTTAGAGAAAAAACTAAAACTCAAACTCATTACCTGTAGGGCTCAATAATATACGATTTATAACTTTATTTTGTGTTTTCTTTTTATTTAGAGTGATTTTAAAAACTTTTCTTAAAAGGCCTTGTATGTAGGTGGAAAACTGGTCTAAAATATTTAAGTGTGCTGTAAAATTTAAAAATTTCCCTCCTGTTTTTAAAACTTAGTGTAAAGTATTAGTCGCCTATAAATCATTATTTACGGCCTAAAACTGACGATAAAGATATCCTGCTTTCCATGAAACATTTATTTTCTTGAAGGTTGTAAGCTGGGTACTGTTCGGGTGTTGCTTAACGACCTGTATTTTCCTTGCTGCGTCAACTTTTTACTATCATAGAAAGGTATATTTACTTTAAACTTTACATTGAAAACCATGAATGCGTCTTTGTTAAAAATATTATATTAAGGAAAAAAATGCTGTCAAGTTTAACCCTTTTTTTACAAACAGCCTGATAATGTTTCATTAATAATATTCAAATTCACACGGATTTGAATGTTTAAAAAAGAAATTCAAAAATAATAAATTACAACCTTTTTGTCCTTTTTTACTGGTCAATAGGCCTTTCCTTGTGTTATGTGATTTACAAAAAATCGGACCCGATCGGTTTAGCCGTTTATTGTTTACAAACAAGCAAACACCCTGACACGTAATACATAGAGGCAGGCCAAATTTAGGTCCAATGGAATATTTCATAAATTAAGTCTTCCGCTTTACGACTCTTTTGACGAGGACAGAAGAATCCAGAATTAATAATATATAATAACGCTCTTTGCTCATATATATTTGTATGTGAGGTATAGCTGGCCAAACGGCTGGACCAAATTGAGGTGCCGTTGGGCTAACATAGGCTGAAAATAATTTCTCTGAAAATCCGAAATTTTATATCAAAATTTCGAAATTTGTTTTCTTCCACGGGCAACGCTGTGCATTTCAGCGAGTATATGCTAAACCTGGAGCTAAGCGTGCAGAGAGTTCCATTTATTCCTCCTCTTCCCATTCTTGTTGACAGAGGAGAGGGGTGTGGTAGATAGTGTAGGATCTGAGATAAGCGTGTCCGCTGTCCAAGGATGGTCCAAGGGGAGGGTCTTAGGAAACAGGAGAAAACATTTCCAATGAAATTTCACTCTTCTCTTGGTGGCAAAAATAATGAAAAATAAACTGGAAGGAAAAATTCATAAAAAATAAGAAAATCTGCATAAAAAAACGGAAAAATTTACTGGTGAAAAAGTTGTAAAAAAAACTGATAAAAAATCGTGAGAACGGAAATTGCAGAAATATTGTTTCTCTAAATATTTTATTCTATAAAGAATTCAGAAGACTATCCTAATTATATATTTTTTTAAATACTTTTTATCTTGAATAAATACAAGATTAAAATAGGTTTTTTAATTTATGCAACTTATTGATTGAAATAAATGGGTTTCCATTTTTCCGGAACAAAATTTCCATTTTGGAAATGGAATGATCTGGGAATCTGTTGCATAATCTGGAATTCCGGGGTAAACCGTTTACGTGACGTAATCCGGAAATTTTTCCTGTTTACCGAATGGAAACCGTAAAATTTCCAGTTTCCATTTAATGAACCAGAAATTTTTCCGGTTTACATAACGTTAACTGTAAAATTTCCAGTTTCCATTTCGTAAACCGAAATTTTTTCCGGTTTATGTAGGCTACAGATTACAAAGACCTATAAAATTTTTAAAAGTGTGAAAAAAATTATACAAAAAAAAATTTGAATTAAACATTTCAAAACCAATTGATTTTTCCTTAAAATTTGAAAAAAAATAAACAAGGAGTTTTCATTTTAAAAATGTTCAATTGAAGTGAAAGATATGGTAACTAACTTCCTTTTCTTTTTTTCAGGTTCGAAATTTAGTTTCAACTCAGCTAAAAATTCAAGGGGTCCAGTACAACAATGGGGGTAGGAATTCCTTTGAAAATCCCGTCAAAGAAAATTCGGGGAATCACAGAAGAGGTGAAGAACACCTCAGCAACATTACACAAGAGGAAAACCACACTAAGGAAAAATTAACAGAAGACGACGGAAAACTTGAGAAAACCTCAAGAAAATCTCGAGACATTCACAAAACAAGGAATCAAACTCAAAATTATAACAGAAGCAATAATAAAAGGACTTCGCAATCTGAAGGAAAAAGTCAGAGATATTTCCAATTATGACTTTTAATCTAGAATTCATACTTTAATATATAGAACGACATCAAGTTGTAAAGATAAAAAGTTTTAGATTGGGTGTGATTCAAAATTACCTCTAAAATTTGGTGAACGGTAAAATATAGGGTTTGCTGATAAACAGGTCTCAAACAAAACTAATGGGTAGCACTGTATTAAATGCACTACTCCATAAATATCTTTCAAAGCCGTATCAATCCAGGTACGACTCAATCCCTATCATTGGTCTACGAGGCATAAGAGCTAATCAGTTCAATAACACTTTTCCATTAGTATTTGTACTAGGATTTTCAGCGAAAATGAAAAATCGTTTAGCGAAAATATTGCATTTTTCGCAGAATTTTTTTTTCACAACCATTTCGCTTCATTTTCGCATTTTGTTTGCTCCCAAAAAATGAAAACATTTTCCTTTTCCGCGAAATTTCGCTTGAATCTGTTTCGCGAAAAAATACAAAATTTTGCGATAAAATAATGCAAAAATTTCGCAGAAACTTAACAAGATAGCGAGTAAAATCAAATTCTCTTCATCAAACATTTATTAAAGTAAAGGAAGATAAATTATGTATATGACTTAATAACACTTCAAATATTGAACTATCACAAGTTCTTTTGAGCAATTAATTGTTGCAGCTTTAAAACTCAAGGTTTTCACAAAATTTTCGCATTTTGCGCATATCTGTACCAATGCGCGCTTTAATATCATTTGCTAACCAAGCAGTAATTACTCTCACACCGTAATCAAAGCGGAGTCTAATTCCAACTGAATGTATTTTGGGTCCTGTAATGTTAAACATTAAACATGGTTGCTCCTACAGAACTCTTCACTCCTTTCTCCGTGTCAGGACAGTATAGGGAAGCTGAAGATCAAACAGTGCACCCCAGATCTTTCTAGAATACAGATGCAGAGTTTAATCTCCAGTTTGTATAGGAAGGCTAACAGATAGCTAACAAATAGATATTCTTCATCATGACTACCAGAGGACTAAGGAGGTCACCAGACTCCTTCCCCATCCTGAAACATGAAAACACATCCTCAGAATCCTCAACATCACTTAGGATATCAGAGGAGGCTCTTAACTCTCCAGCTGGTCTAGGAAAGACAAACACACAGGTTCACCATACTCTTTTGTAGACCTCATCAAGAGATTCATCTCCCGTAGCTTCTAGAACTAATCCAGTTGCTCTTGTACCAGCCTGTCTGAACTACCCACTGGGATATCTTGGATACAGAGGAGAACTAGGATACCCAAGATATCAGATGCTGCCTCATCTTTAATATAAGAGACGCTTATCTTTACAGACAGCTCTTCACATATCTTGAGCAGCTAGAAGATCCAGTCAGACTTTAGACTCCAGGAGCATAGGCTAAACCTGATACTAGAGACGCTGATCTTTACAGACAGCTCTTCACACATCGGAGCAGCTAGAAAATCCAGTCAGACTAAAGACTCCAGGAGCAGAAGCTAAACTTGATACTGGAGAATCTGCACTTTACAGACAGATCTCCACATATCCATCATAGAAGAATAAGATAATCTTTACAAACAGATCTTCACATATCTGTTGGAGATATAGCTGCAGGACACACTGGAGAACTAAGACTTCCAGGACACATAGGAGAACTAGGACTTCTAGTACACATATGAGAACTATGACACCCAGGACACACAGAAGAGCTAGGACTTCCAGGACATACAAGAGAACAAAGATATCCAAGTCAAAAAAGTCCATGTACAGGCCAGCCAGTCCAACCACAGATCAAGATATATTCTCCAGCTGGTTCTATGAACAGAGCTACTAGAGACTTGGAGCAGATAGAGTGTATGCAGAGGAGAACTGGATTACCCCGCCAGTACATCAGAGGCTGTTCTATGATCTCCAGAGGATTCTGAGTACAATGATACAACTCATTGAAGAGCAGCTCTTCACAGACCTGGTGTGATTTAAGCAAAAGAAGCAGTGGATAATACAGTAAGAGCATCTCAGATTAGAAGAACACCTAACAGAGCAGAGACTCCATTAGCAGCTCCGGTAATGAACAGCTAACATAGCAGAGCCTCTAGGAGCAGCTCCAGTAATGAACAGCTAATATACCACAGACTCTTTTAGCAGCTTAGGTAATAAAGGAAGCAGCTGGGAATGAAAGCATTCAATATTGTGGGAGCAGCTAAAATAGCGGAGACTCTGAAAGCAGCTAAAGTAGCAGCTAAGATTACAGTGTAAGAGATTCTGAAATGGGGCAGCTAAGCAAGATATTGAGTTGAGGAAGCTGCCTAGAAAGATACTGAACTGGAGCAGCTAAACAAGATATCGAGTTGGAGAAGCTGCCTAGATAGATACGGAACTGGAGAAGCTAAACGAGATATCGAGTTGGAGAAGCTGCCTAGATAGATACGGAACTGGAGAAGCTAAAACAAGATATTGAGATTGATGAAGCTGCTCAGACAGACACTGAACTGAAACAGACAAAGCACAGTTTCTCAGATATCATAGAAAGCCGATTCAACAAGAATAACATTAAACAGATGTATTTAGATCAATAAACTGAAATGCTGATAAATCCCATTCATTCATACTCTGAGTGATTTATATAGAGAGAACATTACAGGGGTTTATGAAGCAAAGTAAGGGGACTTCGAGAAAGACATTTGTACATACCATTAACAAAGGGAGCAAATGATTGATTCTCTAAGATTTATGTCTAATTGATTGAATTGCTTTTATCATCACAGTTCTATAGGTTACAGATTAAGTTTAATAGACGTAATTACAAGTTTTGATCCTTATATACCATCGTATTTAAGCTAATCTCAATTCAGGTTTGTAGTAGTTATTTACAAACATATTTAGGTTAGATTAATAGCGATACAAGATTTGCGTAGTTACTGATTCAGATTTACCGACAATGTACAACATTAGTTATCTAGGTGTAACTATGGTATCTGCCACGGTATTTATTACAAAATGGGGGGGGGGGAAGAAATGTTGAAAAACAGGGTTATCTATCCCTTAAAAAAGTTTTATTTTACCTGCTTAAAGGGGCCTGGGGTTGATTTGAAGGTGCCATCACAGAGCCAGACCGAATGGTTGCGAAGAATATCAGCTCCAAAACCGCTGAGGCAAATCACCATTGACTGGATTTTGTCGTTGTCAGTCCAGTCCCTAAAGAGTATAAAGTCCACCCCATCCCCAGTTTGAGAGAACTTGTCAGGGACAGCAGTAAAAATAGACATGAACTCTGCAATCTGCATGCAGTCTCATGGAATCTTGGGTGGTGGATCCAATGTCTGTCTTTTCCTCCAAAGAGCCATTTTAATGGCCCCAGTACTGGAAGCACTACAAGTTGTCCTGGGAATGTTGTGCGGAGCATGTTGGTGCTAATCTCTTGCACAACAGCAGCAGGGGTTGTTCCATGAACTTCAGCATACTTAGATACAACAACTTTTCCAGTACTGTGTTCCTCATTAATTTCTTTCCATGATTGTGTGATAGCAGGTTTTCTCCACCAAAGTTCCCTGTACTCTTTCTTGTTGTCAGTTTAGCTCCACACTTGTGTTGAGCACAGCGCCAGTACTGTGTTGAAGCAGTGGATCCATTAGTAGTTTAGGAGAAGTTGTTTATTTCAACTGAAGATGGTTTCCCCCGCTGAGTTGTAGATGCATGCCTGACATTGCTGGAATTACTGTATCTGCGGATTTTTGGTTTTGGATTTGTGGATTTTCTGGAATAATTTCATTTAATTTAATTTAAAAATTTTTATAGAGGCGAGTTGTTTTTATATGGAAAAATGTTACTTAGGCGAGTTGTTATATGGCGAAATGTTATATGGCTAGGTGTCACTGAGCCCGATTTTTAGGACAGAAACAAGGATAGAAACAATGCTTAGAAGGTAATTATTTGGACTGTATGTGTGCCTTTTAAGTATCTTATACTTATGCCTGATATCCAAGAAGCCAAGTGTTATGAATTTACAGTTCGAATTTTGCCCCCCCCCCTAGGAGCTCCTAGGGGGGGGCAAAAAAATTTTTTGCGCTTCGCGCAAATCTTGCCCCCCCCTACATTTATTTCTGTATACGCCCTTGGACAGAAACCTCCATAAAGAAGATAATTAGCAAAAGAAAAAAGTAGACTCGATATCTTTATTTACTAAAGGGAGTTTGTTACCTAACATTAATATCTCCGAGGACCGAATTGGATGAATTCGAACTGCCTCTCCCCGGTTCAAATTTGATTCACTGATTCAAAGCCTGCCTTAATCTTTAACTTTATATAGGTGGTTCAAAGAAATTGCGTCCTTGCCACAACAGGTTGCCACCTGATGCTGTAAACCTTTGATATTTGAAACTTAGATTATTTTATCTAAATGAATTCAAAGTTTGACATAGCTAAGGTCTACAAAATTGGGTTGCAAAGATATTGGGATTAGAAAATCAAAGTTTGTGACAAAACTATCACAATCAAAAATATGGTTTTGGCATAAAATAACTGTCATCAACCCTCAACCAACAGGATGAAATAAACTACCAAATATGTGCGATGGCAAATTCCTTTAAACATAAAAAATATGTTATTAGTTATAGATTTTTAGCGATAAAAATCTCACATTTAAATATATTGATCAAGTTTGATTGATAAGGTGCATTGAAATGGGAGAAATACATTCCTCCCATACTCCACCCCGTCTTCCTCAGCAACCACAACAGAAGCTTTTACCAATGCAACCAATTCCACAACAACAGGCACTTCCAAGAACAGGAAAAACGTTAGAAGAAATATTACTATGGGAAACATTAACTCAAGGTAAATATTTAATTGAATGTTTCTTTTGGTTACATTTAGTTCAGGATACACATCATCCATCGAATAATGGCTATAAAACAAAAAATCCACCAGCACTTTTCATATATTGAATACATGTTTTGATGGATTATTTTTTTAAAGATATAAATATTTATTTTATATCTGTTTTTATAAAATACAGATTACAATTTAAACAATGCATATTGATCACCTTTAAAATTTTTAGCTATTCATTCCACTCTAAGTATTTGGCCGTAGCTTGCAAATGCAAATTGGTTATTTTTGGCTAGCTGTCTATAAATTGACAGCTAGCTCTCGAGTCAACCTTCTAGGGAAGCAAGTAAAATTTTTCCAATTTTGACTGTTGATTTTGTTAGAAACAGAAATCAGTTTTTATCCAGTCAATACCCAAATATTGGATTAATCAAATTGAGAAATTTGTTCCTAAACATCTAATTAGTTTAATTTATTTTTTTGTCTTCGTTTATTAATAATCTTAGAAAACCGAATCTCAAAACGTACCTACCCAAATTGATGATCTCGAAAGTCGACTTTGCACTCAAACTCAGTAATTATAGATCTTTAAAACGTTTTATATGACTCAAATGAATCCTAAATAATTTATCTACATTACTGCAATCTCAGTTCAACTACCATACATTGCCGGTCACTCCCTTTAAGCCCCCCCCTTCCCGGCCCTCAGTCCCCTTTCATAAATAGGGTGTTTCTCTGTCGTCAAACTTCTGTTTAAATCACAGTAAAGTAAACTTAAAGATATGGCATTATGAACAATACAGCTTTTCGTGTGTTGTGTTTTATCTACATAGTTATCATGTTTCATGCAATTGTATCATTTAAAAAAAGTTTGTATAAAATTGATTTTATTGCGAGACCAATTACTAACCCAAACAGTGGTCACACTATAGTTTCAGTAGATGTAATTATATTTCCATTTAGTGTATAGCGCCGATATAAGGATTTATTTCTAATTGGATGATGAGATAGATAGAAAAGTAGATGTTACCGCCATGCAATTTCTATTGGTTCAGAATAGACACCTCACACATGACTGACCCCTGATTAGATCAGGCACTAATGGACTCGGCATACAAGAGTGGTCAAACAGCAAAGTTTGTCTAGAAATAGGAATATGGTATAAAGTTTGGCACTTAGGAATACTTACTTGTTACAGGCTGGTTAAATTGGATTGTTTATAGATGTTGGATAATGTTTCTTTGATGTTGTTCTGAAGTACCTACATTAAAAAATATCAATAAGCACAAATGCGGTTCGTTAATTATTTTCCCCAATGAATCTAAGCATTGTGATTCATTGCATTTTTTTCAGGAGGTGAACTCTACCATGAGCAGTACAATGAACATGGTGTGATGATAGAAAAGAATCTATCAGATCATGATCTGATACAGAAATATCTTGGTTAAGTTATGTCTCAAGGAAAATGTTTAAAGCATAACCCCTTCAAATGTGTAGATTACATCAGGTAAAATGCAATTCCACTGAATTGATGAATTTAAAGGAAATGAGAGAAAAAAAATGATTTATTGGAAGGTAACACTTATTAGATTTGTAAATACATTCATTTATCTATTCATTCACAGTGTTTTCGATTAAGATGTGTATTGTATACCATTAATGGAAAAAAGCTCATGACCACCATAAAGATAAAGGGTGAAAGTTAAGAAGGAACTGAGTTTTTGCCACAAACTCTAATTTTATAATCCCTATATCTTTGCATCCTAATGGTTTAAACCTTTTATATTTTAAGCTTCGGTTGTTTGATCTAACAGAATACAAAGTTTGAAATATTTACGACCTTGGGTTGCAAAGATATAGGGATTAGGAAATCAGATTTTGTGGCAAAAACTCGATTCCTTTATGCTTAAAGGGGCTGTAAGCGTAATTCCATGAGTGACCCTCCATGCAAAGATGGCAATGACCGATTTAAAAGCGGTATCCTTAAAAGCTTTGCTTGATGAAGTATGAATTATAAATGTTTGTGTTTCTTCAATCTATTTATTTTCATATCAAATGAACATTTTTCAGTCAGAAAAACGACAATTTTGATCAGACTAAGGTTTCAAGGGTACCGTTGTAAATCGGGCATTGCTATCTTTGGATAGAGGGGCATTTAAAATTATACTTCCAGTCCTTTTAACTGGTTGTTTTGGTTTATGTTCAAACTCAAAATATAAAAGTTTAAACCCATTAAACCAAAAGTTGCTACTTTAAAAAACCAAATATATAAATTTAGTAAGTCTATCATTTTTATAATTAATCTAAAGTTAAATTAGAAATTGTGAGTTCTGTGAATCCACTTAACATTAAATATGGTCTCTTTACTAAGTTATAATTGCGTACAGTAATATACTGACGGAAGAAATAAGGGGGTTCAGCGGAAAAATGAGCGTAAAACTTATCGCTCCAAAAATTATCAATATTCGTTTAACTGAGACAATGTATGGTAGAACATTTTAGGTACAGATATAGGTTAAAACTACAGTTTTAGGTACCTAGCCTACATACTAAGATTAACTTTATAGGTCTAGGCTTTACACAAAGGAAAGTTTAGGCGTTGTTTAATACAACTAATTTATTTGATTACAAATAAAAAAATGAAATTTTAGTAGATATTTACGAGTGTAAGGTAAAAATTTAAATTGCGCAAAAATAACTGAGCAAACACAATTTTTGTGATTTTTTTTTCTGTTTTGCGGACAAGATTACACAAGATATTTTTGTGTTTGTGAGTACGAGTTTTTACAATATTTTTTTTCAACTTTGATATTTGTAAACTAACTTTCCAATTTATTGTAAAGTAAAAAAAATATCATAGTTGTTTTAAACGCACTTTCTGTAAATTAATTCAAATATGTGTTGTTATATGCTATCAAATTCTGAATAATCAAAAATATGATGTTATACAAATTATATGAAATGTCTATATGTGATTATTGAAATAAATAATAAAAATATGAAAGGATTGTCGCAGATTTATATAATTTCACTCTCCAAATCGGGATCTCTGAAAATTCCACATAGCATGAACATTTTTTTTGTATGATTGCAACAAAACTGAAATTTTACTTCTGTTTAAAAAACACTCCTATATGTTCGTTAGAAAAGTCAAAAAATTTGAACAGCCTCAGACCAATACTTTCTGAGTTGTTTTCAAAAACCCGTCATGGGTCCCAGGGAGNATGTATCTGGAATACTGTAGAGGAGATAGGATATAAGAAAAAGATTGAAGTCAGTTACTAAGAATTTTTGAAAAAATTGTACTTCCTTATCCAGGCTCAATTACTAGATTTTTTTAAGACACACTGGGAACTGTAATGTTCCCCGGCTAACATTTCATGAATTAGCTTGGTTTTAAGCATTAACTAATGTTAATTAGTGTTAATTCGCTGATTCTAGAGTTAACCAAACCGTCTGAGTCGACGGTTTAAATTCAGCAATATTCAGCAAAGACGGAAATTTTCGGACAATTCCTTCTGCCCGCTACTCAATGGTCCTTGTCATAGATCTCAGCCTAGACAAACCCTACTTTGTCGATCCTATACTTCGACACGACTGAGGGTATGATCTTATCCTTTTCCAGGTTAGCTAGACCCCCCCTGGACTGACTGACTTAAACGTTTTTAAAACGATTATTTCCATAATTTTAGTGACAATATTACTCAATGTAAAACCTACACGCAAATATTTGTTAAAGAGTTGGCTAAAAAATCCACTCTAATTCAGACATTCGGAACAGATCGGTATGAATTATGCTAGAGGCCAGACTTTGCGATCTACTAAAAATATTATCACATTATACTCAAATTGTAGTAGATGAGAAAGCGAAAGGGAAGAGGAAAAAGATTTATCAAAGTTTAAGGCGGGTTGTATTGCATGTGAATGTGATCGAGAAATAAAACAGTTGATCTGAAAAAGATCGAGACATCACAAGCGAAGTATATAAGTACCAACTTAATTTCTAAATGTCAAAACTCACGCCTTGATCATGTTTATAGGCCTTTTTATAACTCAAGTGGCCACATCAATATGTTAAAACTTTAAAATATCAAAATAAACGAAGGAATTGAGTCTTTACCGCAAAACTAAATTTTCTTGCACCTCCCATTTCAAAATAGTAAAATAATAAATACTGAATATAGTAGTATAAAAATTTGTATGACTAGCATAGGAACCAAGCTTTGCCAGAAAAATATACTTTTTCTTTGAAAGTCAACGCACTCAAATCAGACAAGTCAAACAGTTAGAGATTATAATTTTAAATATATAGATATAAGGATGAATATATTCTTTGACGCCCTGTAATCTAAATTCATTAAAGGACTTTAGATTACTCTAGCAGGCCCCTAGAGTCCCAGATTTGTACACAATAATATATGCATTAAATTCGGTTTAAGTACGTTCAGGCAGAATTTATCAGAAAATTAAATATGTTTAAACTTAATTTAGTTACCATATAATCTCAAATTTTTCAAAAAATTCATAATCTTACCTTGTTTAGATCATTTAAAGTAAACAAATATGAACGAGAAAAGAGCGTAATAAAAATGCAATTTTTATCTTTTGAATTCGATAATGAAAAGAACTATCTCCCTGATTAGTGTCGGTGTACACCTAGACGCGGTTCAAACATGAATGGTTCACCTGAGATGGAATTTAAAGAATTTGAGCCGCGGTTTAAATCCGCCAATATGCGCCAAACCCCGGTTTAAATTTAGCGCCGGCTTAAATCTTGAAACATTTGATACAATTTTAAGTGGAACCAACCATATTTAAGCCGCGGCTTAAATTTAAACCGCCGCTCAAATTCTTTAAATTCGGCCACTGGAAATTTTGTGGCACGTGTTTCGAAGTTTGAGCCGCTCTCAGCGACGCGGTTCAAATTCTCTGGCCCAAACAGTTCAATAAACATTTACCAATTATAGTATTCGAGAAAAGAAGACATAGAAAAGGATGATAGTGATATAAATAAAAGCATTTCTTTAGAAAAGATGGAGATGAAAGAAAAAAGAAACATGAATGATTATGAAATATTTTAAGAAGATTAAATAGCTAAGAATAATGATAATTATTTTCCATTTTCAGTAAGAGAACAAACAATAATCTGCCATATAACTTCTAAAACTAATATATCATGTAAACCAAACAACAACAAAACCATCCAACTGTGAATGTAATAAACTAATAGGAACCTGTAGAATATTTAGATTCTATGTTTTCCCTTCATGGGTCAAATGTTTTAATGTTTAATGTTTTGTAGAACCTTTATTTACACAAAGAATTTGAGTATTTACCACAAACTCAAATGTTCTAATCCCTAAATCTTTGCAACCGGCTTGACGATGTAAACCTTAGATATTTCAAGCGTTGAATATTATATCCAACAGAATTCATAGTTTAAAAATATTGGGTTTCAAACACATTAGGATTATAAAAGTTTGTGGCAAAGAATTAGATCCTTTGTATCTTAATTTGTAACCCAAACCACAAAAGAAAAAAAAACATTTTTGGCTTTTGTTTTTGTAAAGAATTCTTATATTTGTTGCCCTTCGATGGTGCTTTTCTCAACTTTACCAACAAAAAGACTTTCTTTAAAGGGAGTGTTCGCAAAAAATGAAAGGGGGTATAGGCTTAATGCGATAAAAAAGCGCTTTAGTTTATAAAATATAAACTATATACAAATGTGGCGAAAGATAATCGATGACTATAGGTTGTAATATCTGAATTGATTATTGATATATTGATTTTTTACGGTCTAAGTCGTATATGTTGCAATTTTCTGAATTTGTATGGGCGCTAAGTTATTCGGTATGAGACGTTTTTAACAATTTTCTCCTTATAGACGCAACAGATAGAAGTAAGATTAGTAGCGATCAAAAGCGCTTTTTTATCGCATTAAACCTGTACCCCATTTCATTTTTCGCGAACACTCCCTTTAAAAGAAATGTTAATGTTTCTGCCAAAAGATATTTTCTCAGCTAAAACTGAAGATCCCACTAAATCATAAAAAGTAAAAAGTATACAATATAAAAGGATATCTGTTAGTGCATGGAATTAGGGATGGGAACTGTTTATAAAACTAACCCACCTTCGTTTTTAGAAAAGGGGTACAACTACCAAAATGATATTTTAGACTTTTAAAAAATGTAGAAAAAAAACGACATGTTAATTTTAATGTAAAAATTATCTTTTTTGTTTAGTTGTAAAAATTCTACTTTTGATTCAGAAACTAGATCCAAATTCAGTCCTGCATGCAAAAAATTAGAGAGAAATCTCTAGTAATAAAGTCAGAAGGCTTTATCAGCCTTTTAGAGAGGGAAAATGCGGGAAAGGGGAGACATTTTGTATAAGGAGAGAAATGCGTTTCAGAGTCCAGAATTAAATTTTCCCAATATGGACCTTACACAAAGTTTTTGAAAAATTGTCTGAATAATGGAAGAAAAATTAGGGGGAAATTTCCCTCCGCCCCCCCCCCCCCCACTTTTGTTTTTGATTCAGAAACTAGATTCCAATTCAGGTCTGCATGCAAAAAACAGAGAGAAATCTCTAGTAATAAAGTCAGAAGGCTTAATCAGCCTTTTGGAGAGAGAAAATGCGTGAAAGGGTAGAAATATTGTTTGTTAATCGTTTTTGTAAACGATCGTTAAACGATAATTTTTGTTTCGTTTTTCAATCGTTTTCAAAAACGATCGTTTCGTTTTCGGAAAAAAACGAT